CTGCCGCGAAAAGCGGCGCTGTGCCCACCGGCAGCACCGCACCTTTGCCGTAGAACTTGAGCCGTCCGCCGGCGTCGGCGCGGTGCTCGGGCTCCGACAGCGGCGGCGACATGGTGGCCGACGGCGCCGGCGACAGCACGGCCGGCGGCGGCAGCTGCGTCAGCTCGGCCTCCAGCGGCGGCTCGGGGCGCGCCTTCAGCACGCGCCCGGCCGCCTCGGCCGCCGCGCGCCGTTCCGCCTCCGGCGCGCTCATCGTCTCCATCGGCTCCGGGCGCTCCTTCATGTCGCGCGCGCCGGCATCGCCTGGGGACGGCGCGCACGAGTGGCTCAGCGACGGCCGTTGGTGGAGAGCAGTGGGATGATGGAGAACACTGTGGCTTTATGGTTACGAATGACAGGTGGAGGAGCATCAGGTGACCAATGACACAGTGGGATGATGGAGAACCCTGTGGCTTTATGGTTAGGAATGGCAGGTGTAGTAGCATCAGGTGACCAATGACACAGTGGGATGATGGAGAACCCTGTGGCTTTATGGTTATGAATGGCAGGTGTAGTAGCATCAGGTGACCAATGACACATGTCTGTGATCATATGTCAATGTGCCCCCATGACATTGGCAGAGAGCTGCAGTATATTAAGAGAACTGCAAGACAATGATGGGTACAGCACACATGTAACAAATTGATTTCAGAAATGTTCCTAGTGCAGCATATCACATTCATCCACGACACTGAACCACGTGTGTCACTGGCATACTTGGAATTGTACTACAGAATTACATCTGCTATATTGGTATGCAAGTCCTGATGCGACAATGCATATCACATCACGCATTTTCTGGCATTTACAAAACAAACTCTGCGAGGCAAATTTGGGAGTTTATGATGCTATACTGCTGAAGGTACCATACATGAAAACAGGAGCAAATAAAATAAACAAATAGTGGAGACATTTTGACAAGTACAACATGAAGCATGCCAGCTACATCTAAAAAGGGTGTTCATCAAAGGCAGCAGATAGCAAAATATGGAAAAACTGTATATACCAGACTGCCAAGCACATTGCATTCCACTTGAGAGAAAAAATGCTATTTACAGTCCCTGGGTTCCAATTCATACAGGTCAAAGACACTTAAGATGATACAGGGCTACAGCCTATAGCGAAAATACCTGCCCTGATGTGGAAAATGCATAAGAATGTCAGAACTGTGACAGTTTACTCATCACACAAGAAGAAAGCATTGTCAGGAAAATTGGGAAGGCAGAAATATCACTGCATCAAATGGATCACAGCAGAAATTGGTCTAATAAATGAAGTTAGGGTAAGGGCAGACAGCTAAAGGCTTCTTCATGATACATATTTTTCTTGCCAGCATTATGCTCAATGCATACATGTTTCCAGGACATTTCAAGACCTCAAAGGTGTATGTGTCACATATTTGGCCTTCATTGACAAGGCCTCATCACTTGAAGTCATGGCACAGCAAAGCTTCAAAATGACATTTGACACTATTCAGCATTGCAGTGTGATCACTGCCAGTGATCATGATTTACCAATAAAGGCAACATATCTGGCAGCTTAATGCCTCAATACCCTTCATCATAACTCTTGACACATGCTGAGGGTCCCCACCCAACAATGATAAAAAATAAGTTCCTACCAAGAGGAAATGCAAATGTTAAATAAGTGTCCAACAAGAATGGGATACAGTTGCAAGGGATTGAGCATGAAAAACAACATTCATTTGAGCTAAAACATGCAGAACATTCTTGATTCTTGAGTCTTATTTTCATCTTAAAAATTCCTGAAGCCACTGAAATGCTGCTGAGGTTGCACTTAACCAGTTGCACCAGACCTAAAATATTTCTAGATTTAAAATAGCACCAGAGGGCATTTACTACTCACTAGGCCTAGACTTTAAGGCCAAAGCTTTGAAAGCTTACTTAATACTAACTAATAGAAAACTACTGGCAAGGAAAGATATTTGTGAATCACAATACCATGGAACAACTTTTAATAATCTTTTCTACAGCAAGCAGGCAGCTACCAGGGTGTACATGCAACTGATTATAACTGACAACTCCAATGACCTGAGCAGGCTGTTTACTTCATGGAAGCCTGCAGGTAAAAATATACACTCTTAATCATGTTACTGAGCACAGCTGACTCCCAATAGCATATTTATGACACCATGATCACTATCTTATCACACACTGTAAAATCAGTCTGAATGGGTCAGTGAAATAGGTGATATGCATGCAACAAACTTGGTAATTACACATATATATTTTTGTCTAGTTTTTAGCCTTGGCTAGGCTAGTTAGTCTCCTTTCAAATCACATCAAAGCTGGACACCTAAAACTCAAAACTAAGTTGGTCATATGATAGTTATTTATCAATCTACCATGCATAATGCAATGGCTCTTAACACATTCATATAGCATACTTATGAAGCATTGCTGACATCTTGCATTACTCTTTACAGCCAATTTTTATCATTCACATAGCTTATTTCACACTACATACTGAGCCTGTATTCTGTTTTAACTTGTGCAAGTCCACACAGAATATAGATACAAGAAAATGCAAGTACAGTTAAAGTGTAACTTAGAGTAGATCTTCAGCAAGCCAGACAACAGGTGAAAACCACTGACCTGAATGGCTTGCGTTACCTACTTGTCTGTATTACTAGTTAACTTGTTTATGTAAATAAAAGTAAGCCCCAGGTTATTATGTTAATTAACAAAAATCCACCTGATGCAGAACAAGACAGCACCAGCCCAATAGGCATGAGTGGCCAACTGCTAAGAAATGTGGGTGTATGAAGCATAATTAAGCGCAAAATAGTGGTCAAATCACATACAGCCTGTACCTTTCAAAGTAAAAGTAAACTAAATGTACCAATGGATCCCTGTAACGCATGCATTCATGTCCATGCATCCATAGCATCTTATCCAGGTCTATAGACCCTACGCCACATCCCATACGATACAATTGTAACGCAAGCACGGAACGCCTCAAAGTTAGCCATTTGCACAAATGTAAGGTCATCAATAACACCTTACCGTCTGCATAGACTTAAATATTTTATAAGAATTACAAACCTCTCATTATACTCACAGCCAACAGGAACAAAACGAATCCAAAACAATGCCCACAACAACCTATCTTTTCGCCTGCTTCAGTTTCGCCTTCATCCCAAGAACTTTTGATAATTACCTCCTTTGACAATAAAGAGCTATTTCGACCGGCAGAGGAAAGCCGGGCCAAAATATTGCTACCAGATCAAAATGGAACGGGGCTGACAAATTAAGGAGGTGGCTTATTCATCCTGTATGGGAATATGACTGCGGTCAGGGGTAACGATCCCAGGGGCGCAGCCAGAATTTGCGAGTGGGGGGGGGGGGGGGGAGGAGGAGCGGCTATCAATCATGACTTATGACGGGAAGTGGTGCGTGTTTTGCTTTGTGTCTATGATATTTAAAATCGCTTTGTTTTTTATGACCAGATCCCGCAATTATATTCAGTAGTGTCGTGGTTAGAAACTACGCTCGCACGTGACGGGGGACTAAAACCCCATAAGCCTCCCTTCCCTCTCATTGACTGAACCACTGCTGGATTCGCACAGCTGCCTTGGCAGTGCCAGGGAATACTGTAAATGACAGTGAACGGGAACACAGTGAGACGATGGAAGGGCCATGTATCATGCCGGGGACCCAGTAACTGCCACGTTTCGGCCAGGGTCTCAATGAGTAGAACTGGGATACTTGTGCCAATTACCGGACCCTCTTTACCAATGAGTGCTCCTTTTGTGTGAACAGGCGCCCATACGTCGATCCAGGACCAAGTGTTCCGGTTAGATGGTTTCCTGCGTCCGTACACTGTGTGATATGTGCCCCTGAGAACCTCCAGGTCAGCCGGGGCTCCTACTTCGGGTGGCTAGAATTGGAGCTGGTAGATGCTTTTCTGATACTCCGCCTTGGGTACTCGGGGCTGGGACGAAAAGGCCCTTGAGCCCCTCATGGGAAAAAATAACGAGCTCCATAGGCACCGCATTCTTCACTCCCCCCCCCCCCCCCCTGTCGGGGCAAGGTGGTGAGGGGTATCCGCAGAGTTCAATCCCCGAAACCCAGTGAAAGCGCTCTTTGGTATGACTAGATCGGCAGCCCCTGTGGGGTGGAGCTTCTGCCTGCCAACCGTCCAGATCATCATTGCAACCATCGCGTTCCGGTGACACTCCAGGGCGGGGAAGAATTGAGGCTTGGAGACGCTTCATCCCGCCATGCGACTCGCCTGGGTTCAGTGCTCAATTCCGCAAAATTGGGGTGATTGTCTCCTTCCCAGTGATGGACTACACATCTGACAACCCGACCGGCATAGGCACGCGCTTGGTGAATGGTGACCCCCACCAAGGCACGTCGCCACACCCGCCTAAATGCTGATTTGTTCAGAGTATCAGAAGGGCAGAGATGGTGGCGTTGAGACAGGTGACATGAACAGCACTCCCACAGTTAAAAGAATATCATGTGACACATCAATGTGAAATTGATTACAAAAGCAGTTCCTTTACTTGCCCACAAAACTTGTGGAAGTTCGTTCGCTCTCACCGAGCATCGCGCACAAAATACCCTGGCGACCGTCGAGGAGTGACTGACCCCTGGAGAACATCCGTCACAGGGCTGAGGCGTCACTTGTCTTTTCACCTGCCGGGATTGCCGCGTAACCTACTTGGTCGTACGCCTTCGCAACCATCGTGATGTTGGCCACAAAAATATAGATCTACACGCGTAGTCCACCCCTGATTGGCGGGATAATTTGCCTGATGATCGAAAAACTGACTACGTGGGCTGCTGCATACCAGCCGTGAACAACCCAGTTCATACCCTCATTTTGGGGCACACCATTATGTCCACGGCCATGTTTGCTAGCTTATCAGTAGCATATGGCTAACATCCTGATCAAAGGTTTGCAACACTTCTGCCCTTGGTCTAAAATATGGGTCGCATACGCAATAGGTGTATTCTGCCGCAGATCTGCAGGCGTAGACAGCATCATACAGACAGCATCATATATAAACAGCGTTCTAAGAGCTGGGCTGAAGCTATGCTGAACCAACAGTTGGAGCATTTTGCATATACAAGTTGACAAGACCACAAAAATAAGTTTGTCTTCTTGCAAGAGGCATGACACCGATCATAAAGTCATCTGTGCTCTTATCACAGCATTCATGGCTACAAATACCAGTTGAAGGCGGTGATGTTCTCCCAGGAGTTAGACACCGCTCAAGATGGTTCCCACGTTACCATAAAAACATGAAGAAGCCACCGCCCGCACCAAACAGCCGCTTCCAAATACACCTGACATCCGAGTACCACTGAATCAGCATGCGTACACGCCTAGACGAGATGCGGCGTGCCGCAGCCGTCGCGTGGCACTCCTTGGGTGGCTGTTTCGCGCCCAGGGGCCGGAGCAGCACCCGACCCTCTAGGTGCGGTGGGTGGACTCGAAGTCCACCGGATCGTGTATCTGTTTGCTATGCACGGACCAGAGCTCCTGCGGACACGGGACAGCCGTTACCGCCTGACATCTGGCGGCCACACGCTTAACTTGTGGTGCGATGTACCGCCGTGGTATCGCGTCGCATTGCATTTTACGTATTGTCAACATGGTTAGGCGCATGGACGGCATGTAAACACTGGAAGAAAACGTCTATTTTACGGAGGTTATGTTCCTTGCAACACACTGGGTTAATAGCGGCAATTCGTAGCATCTTAATAATTCCAAGAAAACGTGTTGGAAATGCCATACAACATAAAGGCAGCTCGCAAACGAAAGCAAAACTGACGTCAATGGCATGTCCCTACCGGAGCTGCGTTGCGAATGCAGGTACCACACGCAGGACTAGATTCTAGCGCTAAACATGACCTGCACTGTCCCTCCATGTGTTGCTGCCTGCTCGACCTTTTGCGCCCACAATGAACGTCGTAAAAACTTCACAAAAAGTTAACTAGCACGCCACGTTTAAACACCTGACCATCTGGGCTCAGTGAACAAACATTTTCGCAGAGCTTCCCATGAATATTTTGGTCTCCAGCCATTAAAGGGGTTGGACCAAAAATTTTCCGAGGGTTGTAAAAGAATCGGTGTACGTTGTAAATCATGAAACATGCATTCTTTATTCAGCTTCCAGCGATTATTAACTACGGCACTATCTAAAAACGCCACAGCCAAGCGTTGTGGTTGAAACTGCAAACAACCAGACGGCATATCCAAACTGACAGGCACGGCTGTCGGCAAGTACAAGACGAACGATAATTGGCATCCCTTCTGTCCACGCCATTTAGGTTTCCGAACATTTTGGAAGGGCTAATCATTAAAACATGCTGATGTCAGGTGCGCATGCGTGCTCGCAGTGTGCGAAGCGTCACTGCTACTTGCTCCTTACAGTGTTTGTGTACAGATAAAAAATGGCTGGCTGTACTATGAGCTGCTCTGCCATAGAATCAAAAAAGTATGCTGAACCGGAGGAAAACGAAAGATCGGACACTTTCTACGAAAGAAATTATCGATGATTTTAGGTTGAGAATATCAGGATAGATATAATATTACATATATGAGTTCGGAATTTTTCCCAATGGTGTCCCACTCTCCCTTGGGATGCAGCTAAGGCCGCTGTAACAAAATTGAATACTAAGCAAACATTTCCAGCGACGGTCGGCGAAGGAAATGCTTCTTTCTCGTACCCCTTGCTTACTTTTCAAACAGATCTGGCCTAACATTTTTTCTCGGCCAGCTCCGCGGTTTTGCACAGTGCTGAGTTTTGCATAATGTAAGGTTTTGCAAATACCCTAGCTGCCACCAAGACCGTGGCACAATTTCTGTCCAAGAGGGCAATGTTTGCTAGGAGCTCCTAACCTGCCACGTAATGTCACGTCCCAACAAAACACCTCGACCAGTTGCCAGTTGCCTAATCACCACACAGTCTCTCTCGGCTTGCGGGTGGTCTACCTTCACATTGCAATATCTAGGCGACGTTGCTGCCTGCAGACGGACTATGCGAGAGCCCAGTTGACCAGTGGTGTATAAGAGGAGTGGCGTTCCGCTTCCAGCCGCAGCGGTGTGGCAAAGTGCGCCACTGCCCCGTCATATAAAAGGCGACCATGCTTGCTTTTGGTTAGTTGTCGTTGATGACATTCTGAGCATATGTTTGGGAATTTGATCATCGCCCCGTGAACTGTACAGCATGGAGAACGGCATGATAAAGCTTACAAGCTTGACCTTACAAGCTTGACCAAAGTTTCAAAGTTTTGTTCCGCTTGTACCCTTATGCCCTGGGTCACTGCCGAACACTAGTTTTAACGGTCAAATTTACCGGATCTGGACACTTCGAGGAATATTCAGGCATTCAAAATCAAAAGCCCTGCTCCGCCTCAGACTAGCGCGATCCCGCAGGAATACATCAATTGCTCTCGCTATGACATAATATAGCAAAGCAAGGTCTGCAATAAAATGCTAAGATCAAGCAAATAAACGACAAAACGACGCAGCATTCGTCTGGTCTGCAGCGGCTAGCCAATACAGCCTTACTGTAAACGTTACGAGTCTTCTAACAAACGCTGATGAACCTTGTGGAGACTCTGAAACGACGGGAATGGCGGCTGATCAGCACACACACAAACCGCCTGCCGAACGATGCACTGCTACGTCCAACTGAAGTGCTTAAGATTAAGTGGACCTCTAGAGAGCACAATGCATCAGTGACTCGGGTCACATGACAAGGACAAAGTTGGCTGTGAGGAATTAAATCGACGGAATTATCCTGACCACGCCTCACCTTGAAGTATTTGACCGTTTTGACCTTGAGTTCCATGGTGGCGTCTTCATCGCACACCATGATCGTCTTGGGATGTTGCTGCCACGAGAAGAAAGGCATCAACCCACGACACGAAGGCCCTATGATTGGGAGGAACAGATATCCCACAGCTCCCGCAGTATAATGATCTCACCTACCACACTTTTTACCCAAAAGGTTATTTACCGCCGGTCTGATGACAGCTTAGCCTTCGTCGCACACGCAACATAGCAACAGCGGGCCACGAGCAGCAACACGCGGACGTGCGCGCACCAATAACGCAGGGGCACATCAAGCCTCCCAACTCGCCCAATCGCATCGCTCGACGTGCCAGCCAGTCTGTGCGCCGGCCGTGACAGGCGCAGCTTCACACCGGGCTCTCTGAACGCGAAACAGCGTCCCCGCGGCGGGGCGAACGCGGCAGACGGGCTGAGGGCTCGTGGGCCGGGGGGGGGGGGGGGGGGCGGGCGACGCGCCTCACCTGGAACGCCGACACGGTCCACATGTGGTTGACGCCCTGCTCGATGGCCTGGTGCAGGGCGTACGCCTTGTGCTGTCCGGTGATCAGGATCAGCACCTGGCGGCGCCGGGCGACCGTCACCAACACCGACCGAGCGGCGGCAGTGTCAATGGGTTGCCATGACGACCATCTTGACAACTTACACGACACGTTCTTCCTGCAAACACTACGAATGCTCCACAGAGCGCTTCCGCTGTTCGCAGGCCATGCAGCATTTTCTGATCCTGTCCTGTCACCCTGCGTATTTCGTTCCTCACGTCCCATCGTCGATTACTTTCGAGACCCCAAATTTGCTCGCAGGAGGTCAATAGGCGAAAGGCGGCCAGGCCAGGCACGCGCGTCATCACATTTTCGGCACTAAACAGCCTCCGACGAAACATATAATAAAAGTCGCAGCACGTACGCACATTTGAACAGACCGCACACTGCCTGCGCTTCTGACCCCGATCGTACCGCGGGCCGCGAGCGGAGGTCGGGTGGGGCAATACCCTCGTCTCGGGCCTTCGCCCTCCGTCGGCCGGCGCTCTGACCTCGTTGGCGTCCATGACGGTGCCGACGCCGACGGTCAGCGCCCGCGTCGGCACCTTGTTGATGTCATCGTCGAAGAAGCGCGCGTTAGCCTGGATCGTGTCCTGGTTCAGCGTCTTCACGCGCGTCCGGGACACGAGCGATGAGCCCGGCTCGTTGAACGCCACGTGGCCGTCCGGTCCGATGCCTGCAGGCAGCGCCAGGTCAGACAGGTTAACAGAGCCGCCGGGGCGGACGCGGCGCGAGGCTGGTGCATGCCAGCCGCCGACAGCGACGAGGGAGTCGTCGGAGCACCCGTCGAGACAGGACAGGACGACGACACGGCATGGCAAATCATGCCTCTCGCGCCTGACGCGGCCCACTTAACACCATCTACCTCAATCATCGGGCGAGAGGCTAAGGTTAGCAGTCTCCAGTTCTAATCCGACCGACAGCGGGCACGGCCGGCCGTCGCGCGTCCACCCTCAGACGACCGACAGCGGGCACGGCCGGCCATCGCGCGTCCACCCTCAGACCGACAGCGGGCACGGCCGGCCATCGCGCGTCTACCCTCAGACCGACAGCGGGCACGGCCGGCCATCGCGCGTCCACCCTCAGACCGACAGCGGGCACGGCCGGCCACCGCGCGTCCACCCTCAGACCGACAGCGGGCACGGCCGGCCATCGCGCTCCCACCCTCAGACTCACCGCCCATGAAGAGCTCGATACCGCCGGCGTCCTGAATCTTCTTCTCGTAGCGCGCGCACTCGGCCTCCAGGTCGGAGCACGTGCCGTCCAGCAGGTTCACGTTCTCCGGGTGAATGTCGATGTGCTTGAACAGGTTGTTCCACATGTAGGAGTGGTAGCTCTCCGGGTGGTCCCGGGGAATGCCTGCGGCCACCGGCGTCGGTCAGCGTAGCGCCGAGCATCGGGTGCGGCTTTGCAGGCAGGAGCCGACGTTGTGGTCAGGCCAGACTGCCAAGCCCTTGCCCGATCTGATTTGCTCGCGCGGGGCTCTCAAAATAGCGACTGCTTCAACCAGTAGAAGCTTAACTTACGGCGTCCTTGTGCATAGATCAGGGTCAAACGTCAACCATCGTGATGCGTGATGCATGATCGGGCGGATGTTTCAGATTTCTCAAAATAGTTACCTTAGTGGATGAATACGGCAAAATTTGCGGAGCCTACGTGCATACACTTACGACCCAATGGACCCAATACGACCAATACGACGATACGACCCAATGGAGTTAATCACTTTAACATAATACCATGAACTGGTTCAAACAACTAGGCAACCATTTGACACGCATTGCGCGGTTGCAATACATTCCCACAGCACAACCCGATAAATCCATGCAAATCAAAGTAACACGACCACAGCAAAGAGATGTGGTTACTTGCCGACGTATTCGTCCATGTTGAACGTCTTGACATACTTGAAGGAGACTTTTCCCTCCTTATGGTACTTCACCAGCTCTCTGTACGTGCCACCAGGAGTGCCACCTAGTGACCAGCAGCGAATTACGAACAGGACCACATCAAGTTGGCATTCAAAGGGGAATCACTGGCTCCGAACTTGTACAACTCTGATGACGCGCCACGGGGGGGGGGGGGGGGCGCCGCAAAAAACAAACGGAACGCATGTGACTAAAGCAGGACATCAAAGGTACCAGATGCCGATAAACAGTATTGGAATGCTTATGTAGAATTAAGACTGATGTAGATTGATGATCAAACGCACAATGGCATGTCATTTCCCATAAATAATGGCATATAGGCCATCTAACGCAGTAAGCATTCAAACACAGACTTATGCAGTTTGACGACCGAACAAATTCTGCTTAGTCCAGCACCAGCAAAACACTGCCTTTTTCTGAACCTGCCATGACGTGAATCGCTATGAATCCAGGAAAGGTAAGTAAGCTCTTGCCACCATTAAAATTATTTTTACTGTTTTCGTTAGCATCGCTTACAATAAAATGGAGGTGCTAGGCAGGACAGAGAAAATGCGCAACATTAAAAAACACATTTTAGAATCACTGCCACACACATATGGCACGAGCATGCAAACCCCGCAGAAAAAAAACTACAAAAAACTGCGTAACCCACGCGCAGGCACAACAGGTTGTTGCTCCCTCACCGGTGGGCAAGCCGAGCACGAAGTAACGGTCCGGTCCAGGGTTGAAGTCGAGGATGCGTTTGACGATGTAGCGTGCCGACCAGTCGGCCACCTGGTGCGCGTTGTCGAGGATCACCAGACGCATGGCGGTGGCTCCTGCGGGGGGAGCCAGCCTCTGTCACCGAACGCAAGGCAGCTGCTGATGACACCCAGACAAGGCAGGAGGCCAGCCTGGATGAGGTTACATCACAGCAGGCATGTTGAGATGGGCAGTCCCTGCTCATGCTTTTCGTCCGTCGACCCATCTCCGACCATCCACAATCTGTCTTCATGTATAGATTGTGGGGCATTTAGCAGGAACAGTGATGTGACCAAAATCACTCACAGAGGTCATCAGTTGCATGCAACACTTATTTAATTCAGATGTCCAAACACATCAGTATGGAGTTAACTAGATATCAGGGATGAAACAAGATGTGTTGAATCCAAGTTTTCAGGTTTTCATCAAAAGATTTTGAAAAGCATTACCACTGAATACTACACCAGCCTCAGAGAGGCAAAGTAGTCAGCATGCCAGACCCTTTTGAAGACAAGCACAGGACTCTTTGGGCTGAGGCACAGCCATGAGACATGTGGATTCATTTCTACTCAAGGGTTCAAATTTTCTAGGCAGGTAACAGATGACACACCAAAGGTAGGGTGCTGTGCCTTTGCCATCATGTTAAAAAAACATCTGTCCTGCTTGTTATATCTGATATAGATCTCAAAATGCACTTGAACCAGGCACATGCAAGGTTTGCACACAGAAGAGTGTGGGAAGGGTGCAAACATCTTCCACACAGCACCCACACTTTTTCAATGAGGACAGTCTTCTTTTTTAGCATGATTGTTATTCTTGTGCTGCTGCAATATGGGGTTGTCAGGATCTGGACCTAGTTCTGCTCTTTTGCTATTCAAAAGCTGCTTCAAATATTGAATTTTACCTTCTCTTTGCTATTGACTGGGTGTGGCAAAATCATGTAGCAAAATTGCAATTTGTGAATTGTGTCTTGTTGCTGAAAACAGGCTCTCAGAAACATGGCAGTCTAGCTAGGCTGGTCCTGGTGACTGAAGTTAAAATTTGTACAATGATTGTGCACAACTCATTCAGGACACAGCCTTCTTTACACTAAAAAGTTGATTATCAGTTTGCAAGTGGGCATAAAAAGTTAGCAGGTTAGCTAATACATTACCTTAGTTCCACAGAACTGCACAGAAGTGTACAAGCTTGTAGACCAGTATGACAGACCACTGACAATTGTCAAGATCACACAGAAACACAAAGAACTACAAGAATATGATCCTTGGACATGCACACACTTGGAGTAAAAGCCTTAAGCATCCCAGAACCAATTCTCTATCTGGCTTTTATTATAAATGTTACATATCAAGCCATTTTCTGAAGCATCCAAACCACACATGAACACAAAACAAAGAACACAACAGCTGTCAGGAACCAGTCTAAAAGAAAAAGCATAACATGAATAAAACATATGCCACTTATTGTTGCTACTAATCCTCAAGAACTATGTACAATTATGGCACTTTGATATATAGCTTTTTGGTATGCAGATGTTCTGGGGTCGCACAAGATAGAGTTCCTTATTCTATTGTTCATTTAACAATGTTTTAGCAAGCTATAACATTAAACTCATCCCATACATCATGATCAGTTTCAGCATGACAAATACAACAGTAATACATTTTCAAGCCACCTAGACACATTTGCATGGTACTAACATAACAGCCAACCCCCAGTTATCCGCCCACGCCTATTGCTATTCTATCCAGCATCTGCAAGGACAACACCCAATGTTCAATGTTTTCCCCTGTTGGACAGCGGCATACCTGCTGCGTTCGGGTTGTACTGCCTCAAAAACGATGTCCTTAGTACAGGTTATCGTGCAAGCCAGCAGTCAGACCAGTGCTCAGCCGGAATAGGGCGTACCGCTGGTTGATCAGACGAGAAACAGAACACCACGGCGCAGGCGCGCTAACGGTCAGGCAGACCCGGTTCTTATGCGGCGGATAAACGACCCACGGCCCCATCCAGGCCACACCGGTCACCGAACCCTTGACCGACTTGACCGCTCTGACATTGCCCGCGTCGCGGTTGCGCCATAAAGCAAACGTAAATAGGATTGGCCTTGGGTCAGCTGATGCGTGGGGTGCATGATAACCCAGCGAAGGGGTATGCCGAGGGCGTGCAACGAAAATACCCAACCCTCGAGGTCAAACCTTGTTCATTTGAATGACATGTGGAAAATACAACTCGTCAGAGGGCAGTGGATTGGTGTCAGCCAGAATTCCTAAACATGTCAAAAGAAATAACGATGATCATTGTCATGACTTGGGCGCTCCAAATTGTTTTCGAGCCTGATTTTTTTAGGCTCAAAGTGTAAGCATTGATTCTCTACAAATCCTTCACAGTTGGCATGTTGCTTCGATCAACATTTTGTTGGGCTGAGGAATAGAAAAGGACTAAGTCGGGCAAACATAGGCGGATCCTGGGGGGGGGCACGGGGCCATGTCCCCCATAAAAGCTGAGAGTATGTTTCCCCCCCAAAAAACATTTCCAGAACTTCATAAAAGTTCGTCTACTTACCGTCTGTTTTAACTTTGATGGTGTGGTATCAAACATTTGTTTCTGTTTCGGAAACATGGTATCCTGCCTCCTGACTGACTCATCATTCATCTCGTTCCGCAGCGCGGCTCACCGGTGTGCCCGCCCTCTACAGCCGCTCCGCAGCTGCCACCACGCTCCATAGCCATTATAATCATCCTTTGTCCGGCCTGATCACCCTGTTTCACCGTTTGTCACCCTGATCACCATTTGCAATAAACCCAATCTGACCAGTTGACTCTTGAAAGTAATATCTTATGTTACGAGCTTTGTAAACATGCATACTGTATATAGAAGTTTCAAAAGCATTTCGGTGCTTCAATGGTGTCCCTTCTAGGTACTCGCGAGAGGCACCATGCACTGGACCTCGGATCTCACGGCAGCCAGCTGGCGACGAACGGCCCCCCCCCCCCCCCAAAACGGTCCCCGAACGAACTGTCCCCCCCCCCAAAAAAACTCCAGGCTAGATCCGTCCCTGCGGGCAGAGAAGTAATCGGGCTGTTGAGTTGACGGTGGGAAAGTTGGGCTGTTGAGCTGACGACTGGAAAGTTGGTCTGTTGAGCTGTTGGGCTGACGATTGGAAAATTGGGCTATTGGCCTGATGGGCTGTGAGGACTAAGTTAGACCAATGATTGGAAAAGAACTAAGTCGGGCAAAGATGACTCATCCTACCATATAATTTGACCGCACTAGGCTATGGGCGGGTAGAGACAGGCAGAGACACAATTCCGGTAGAACATGGCACAGCCTATCATAGCTGCTTGCCAAAACTACTCGTGTAGGAACTTGATTTTCCGTGAGCTCTGATTGGGCTACGCAACACAAAGCACAAGCAGACTCACAGCTGGGCCTTAGCTCGGGCAAGCCTCAAGATGGGCTCACGTGGGTCAAGTGACGTGACAGACTGAAGCCGCTTGTGCTTCAATCGCATTGCATAGACGTTCTGTTTTTGTATTCTATACGTGTTATGCAATGAAATGAAACCAGCCTTGTGAGTGCCAGAAGAACGACGTGAGAACAAATGTGTGGGTTATCAACTATCGTCGTAAACCTAGCCGACATTAAGACGATTACCAATTGAGACAGACTCTACCTGAGAGCTTATGAAAATGGGTGTGATCAATGTATTAGAAAGTCCGCCTGTCATGACATTAGTAGACAGATTTTAAATGGCATCTTTTGTCGTCCAGACGCTTATTTTAACAGCACATTGCATGAAAGCTGGCTGGCTGGCCGTTTGGCCAGGTCTGGCAATGTCGGTTAATTTAGTCCATAAATGTGTGGTGATTTAGTTTTTGGTTACAGTGACCGCCACACCGCCTGAGACCGGTTTCGAAAAGGGTGGCACTTGTCGCCCCCTGTCGTTTACTGTGGTTGTGAACTGGACAATGCTTAGGGACCGAACGGTGTGGTGGCGTCTTGTGTATTGTAGACAGTATGCGTGTATTCATATACGCCATACAGTTCGTGTCGCTTCTCTCTGCTCTCAGTTTGCGAAGATCAGTTACCAATCCCTAAAAAAGTTTCGAAACGAGCCAATCCATACCTTGTGCTCGATGACGTGTGCTGGCTGCACACAGTGGTACCCTTTTGCTAGAACGATCGTCCGTTCTTTCTGCTATCAAAAAAGGTTGGTTTTGAGACGCTGCCACACTCATCTTATGAGGAAAGCTACCTATCGTTCACATTACAATGTTGCAGCGAAATCACACCCGGTCAAAATAGTTTGCACGCAAGAGCCCTGCTTTCTGTAGGCAAGAATTCTCGCACAGATTGAAAGCTGCGTGCTGGTGCGATCAGCAGTTGCAAATATGTTCGCTTCCATGCATGGCGCGACACCCGGACCGTGTTGGGGCGCCCCAAAATGAAAAAAAATTATCAGTGCTGAAGTGAACGCTGCGCAGACGGCGTTCGCGCATAAATGGAATATTTGCGTCTCCGACTGCGCCTGTGTGGTGTGTATAGTCCGGAGCAGTCAGCTGTCCGTACAACCGATGAAGGTCTGTCCACACCGGGCAGACGGCGCCTGGACGGGGATGGAGGCTCGCTTCCCCGACGGCGTCCGCACGGAGATGACAGCTTCGCATGCCCGACGGCGTCCGCACGGGGAGGGCAGCTTCTCATCCCCGATGGTGTTCGCAGGGAATGGCAACTTCTCATCCCCAACGCTGTCCGCACAGGGATGGCGGCTTCGCATCCCGGACGGCGTCCGCACGGGGATGGTAGCTTCTCATCCCCGACGGTGTCCGCACGGGGACGGCAGCTTCGCATCCCCGACGGTGTCCGCACGGGGATGCGAAGCCACCAGCACCAGCTGTCCGCGCGGACAGTCATCTTATGCTTCTAATCTGCTGGTGAGCAGCATCACCAGCCCAACGTCACAACGTCACAGATGTCACAGACATCACAGGTGTGGTACCCATAGTGGATGCGAAACATACGAGAAGAGAAGCGGAACACGGAGTACGCCAGCAGAACAGCAAAAGAAAATGCGGAAGAGTCGATGAACCGGAAGAAAATGCAGAAGATGTTAGGGCGAAGAGAGGACCGAATCAATGACTTCAGTGTAAACAAACGGCGGTACTGACTGTTCAACTCTATCGGATACCGGAAAAGCAAAATATATCATTCGCACATAAGACTAGCAAGCACGAGATTTAGCAGGTACAGAGCTGATACCATACAACATGCGTTATCGCGGTAAGAGTTAAATGTTGGTCTAGCGTCGAAATTTTTACCGACTGAGAGACGCATGACATCTATTGAACATTGTATGAAATAAATGGGTTTCGTGGGATGAGGAAGCTCAGTTTTCAAACAACAGAGGTGCTCGCGTCGGCCTGTTCAGGGCTGAAGACAGCCTCGCTTCGAACGAGAGAAGGGCAATGCAGAACTTTCGGGAAAGGCAAGACACAATCCATGAGAGTACATTCATCTGCATTATGACCGTAATCGCCGGCTGTTTGTGGTCGTAACATCACCTTTTTTTAAAGCTTCATGCCTGTAACCGTTGTAACCATCATAGCAAAAAGGTAGCAAAAGTGCGTGGGAAGCAATCCTTCGAAGGCAAAGGTCGCAATTTTCGTTCCATCACAACAATGAATGTAAATAATTTGAACAAAAAGTTAAGCTTAAGGTGCAAAAGATGCGTTCTTGAGAAGATCCGCGGCGTGAGAAAAGAACATATATGCTATCGCGTCGAACGTGTATATATATATATATATATATATATATATATATATATATTTATGCGTATATATATATATATATATATATATATATGCTATATATATATATATACGTATATGTATAATGTATCAAACATATATCCAGAGCCCTTTTCTTCTCGACATAACCCCATTCTTCTAATTTCCCTGAGCCTTTATTGCTGACGAGGGGTGCAGAAACAACCACCAGAAAGTTTGAACACACCGAGTATGCAAATACAAGGAGTGGGTGTAAGAGTCCTTCCTAATCCCCTCATACGCTCTTGCGTCCTTAGGATTGCATCAGCCGTCCAGTGCATCCGACCCTCTCCTTTCTTGCTCCATTATGAATCCTCGCGACGCCCCGCTTGTCCCGGGCAGGCTGCATGCGTCAGCCACGAGTGAGCTGAGAGGCCCTCTGGAGGGGACCCCGACCAGGCGCCCAGCATGTACCCCGCAGATGGGTCCTTGCGCGTTGAAGCTCGGTGGTGGCTCCCCTCCCCCCCCCCCCCCCCCCCCCCCGGAGCATGTATTTCTGTCCTACCGTTATCCAGCGTCCTTCATTCCACAGGCCTGAAATGCTCATTACTGATCGGAAGGGCTCTAATTCGAGATAACCAGTTAACCTAGCCGTCCAGTTATTTGGTCATCTGGTGATCGCCCAGTGACCCAATGATAAAGCGGTAGCGCCGTCCGCGTATAAGTAATCATCTGTTATATTTAAGCAAGCTCTTCGGTCCAAAAAATGATTTCGATTATCGTGTGTCATGGCTGCTTTTAATGCTGCAAAGTTGTCTAGGCACGTGGTGGCTTGTCTTTAAATTTGCATAGCACCTTTTCTTTACAACAATTGTCATCTTACGTGCCCTGGGTATGACTGACAATAATGCTTCACAGGGAGAACGATGCACGCGTTAGCCAGCTGACTGCCACTGGCCGTCCGGCTGCCCCTCAGCTGACCTTGACCCGGGTCCCGCCCGGAGGTCAACGGCAGTCAGGTGATGTGTCCGGGCGGGGGGTGGAGGCGGCGACGGCCCGACTGTGGGCAACGAGCACGCAGCG